AACATGAGTTAAAGAAAACCAGGACTTCAGAGCAAGAAAAATTACCAGAGATGGAAAGAGACATTATGTAAGATGAAACAATCAATCCACCAAGCAGACATATCAAAACTAAATGTGTACATACCAAACAACAGAGCTGCAACACATGTGAAGCAAAAACTGACAGGAGAAATAGACAAATCTCTAATTATTGTTAAAAATATCAATAAATCTCTCTCGACAATTGAGAGAACAACTAGTCAGAAAATTATAAAAAATATATCACTCCATCAAATAATAGCATGTAAACAAGATTTATGGGCTGGGCATGGCAACTCATGCTTGTGATTCCACCACTTTGGGAGGCTGAGGCAAGAGAATCACTTGAGCCCAGGAGTCAAGACCAGCCTGTACAACATAGTAAGAACCCGTCTTCATAAAAACTTTTAAAAATTAGCTGGGCATGGTGGCACATATCTGTAGTACCAGCTACTTGGGAGGCTAAGGCAGGAGGTTGAGGCTGCAGAGAGCTGTGGTTGCGCCACTGCACTTGAGCCTTGACGACAGAGCCAGACCCTGTCTCAAAAAGAAAAAAAGAAAAAGAAAGATTTATGGAACATTCCATCCAAAACCAGCATAATGCACATTCTTTTCAGCCTTCTGTTAAACAAACCTCAACAAACTTAAAAGAATTGAACTCATACAGTGTGTTCTCTGACCACAATGGAGTTAAACTAGAATCAATAATGGAAAGATAACAGAAAATCTGCAACACTGGTAGACTAAATTATATCCTTTAACATAATCCATGGATCAAAGGGGAAGTCGCAGAAGAAATTTAAAAATACATTTAATTAAATGAAAATGAAAATACAGGTCAAAGTGTGTGGGGCACAGCTAAGAATGCTAAGAGGGAAATTTACAGCACTAAATGTTTGCATTGAAAAATCTCAAGTCAATAATCTAAAGTCCCACCTCAAGAACTTAGAAAAAGAAGAGCAAAATAAACCCAAAGCAAGCAGAAGGAGGGAAATAATCAACATAAGAGCAGAAATCAATGAAATCCAAAACAGAAGAATAGAAACAGAAGAATCAGTGAAGCAAAGCTGGTTCTTTGGAAAGATCAATCAATAAGATTGACAAACCTGTAGCAAAAGTGAAAGACACAAGAGAGAAGACACAAATACCAATACCCAGAATGACACAGGGCTCTCACTGCAGGCTCTGCAGCCTGCCTGCCCTGTAGCCATGTGACTCGTTCCTGACAACGGAATGTGAGGGAAGTAATGCGTGCTACATCCATAACACTGTCTTTAAAAGAAATCACTAGCCCTCCATTTCTTCTCCCTCACCTTTCCATGAGCTGCATATGGTGAAGAAGTTGGTGAGGCAGTTTTGACCATGCAAATAAGGGTGGCATCCTAGTGTGTAGGGGAGCGATAAGCTAGGAAGAGAGGATGTCCTTGGCTGGTCTTGTGGAGCAGAGCTGCCCATCTACTTGTTTGAGTCACTATATTTAATTTTTTCATTCCAGCAGCATAGCCTGTACTCAAGCTAATGTATTATAACTACGGTAGGTTTATGTCTTAGGGGACTTACATACTTAATGAAAAACCAAGATATTGTGGGGTCACTCTAGTCTTTGGACCATGCAAGGTGTTTTTTGAGGCCTCCATCAATCCTATGGTCCTCCATCATCTGTCTATGGATGAAGGCCATCACTGAGCCACCCTTTATACCTGTCTACCTGACCCTTTCAAATCCAGCAATTTTCCCACTATTCCCTTGTCATTGCTGGAGCACAAGAATCCTTCCACCACACCTCCACCACAATGGACCCAAGGATTTCCACAAGGCCATATAAGGCCCCACCTGTCATATTCACTATCTGTCCATTCCCTTTCCCAAGCCTCATGCCCACCTTTAAGATCCAGCACACAGAGGCCAGGCACGGTGGCTCATGCCTATAATCTCAGCACTTTGGGAGGCCGAGGCGGGTGGATCATGAGGTCAAGAGATCGAGACCATCCTGGTCAACAAGGTGAAACCCCGTCTCTACTAAAAATATAAAAATTAGCTGGGCATGGTGGCGTGTGCCTGTAGTCCCAGCTACTCGGGAGGCTGAGGTAGGAGAACTGCTTGAACTCAGGAGGCGGAGGTTGCAGTGAGCCGAGATCTTGCCATTGCACTCCAGCCTGGGTAACAAGAGCGGAACTCCATCTCAAAAACAAAACAAAACAAAAAATTATGAGCTCTGCAATGAACAGAAAACCAAAAGCACATTTTTATTGACCACGTGTTGGGGTTAAGGCATGACCCAAAGCCCAATTTTGTGCGGATGGCATTGGGGAAGGTGGGGGCACAATTGCAGAGGCTGCAGAGCTGAGACGAACTCAGGGGAGGCTGGTGGATGCGAAAGCCTGGAATGCAGAGCCCGAGGACCTGCCTTCATTTGAACCCTGGCTCTGTCACTGACCTTGGGCTGGTCATCTACATTCTCTCTGAGCCTCAATTTCACTTCGGTAAAATGGGAACACTAACACTCACTCTTTCTATTTCATAATCCAAGAAAGAATGAAGCGGATTCTGGGAAAACACTTTGAAAGTAAGGACTCTGTACACATAGGGGTTATTACTATTATTACATGAACCAATCATGTTTGTGGATGAAGGGGTTTAGATAGGGTGGGGATGGCCTTCCAGCAGTTATTCAGGCCCAAGCAAAGCAGGCCTTTGGGTGATCTACTTCGGGGAAAGCAGAGGCCAGGCGGGCAGAGTTGAGGGAAGGAGTTGCTGAGCGTGTGCTAGGGCGAGCTGGAGGGTTGTCAAAGCCTTGCTAATGAGTTGGGGCTTGTTGGAGCAGAGAGTAGGAACCATTGCAGGTTCTTGAGCAGGGTAGACGAGACTCCTGAAGGAGGTGGAGAGAAAGCAAAAGTGGCATGCTGTCTCCTTAGGATGTTTTAGTTGGTAATAATAGGAAGTTGTAAGTCCAGTGAAACACTAACACTCCCTGTCCCAAAGCTGGTCTTGACTTCTCTGGAAGGACTTGCTTTTTCCTCTGGACTCTTGGTTCTCTGCAGCTGGAGTGTATCTCTTTGGCAGCAGGTATACCAGCTCAAATCTTCCTGAAAACATTCATGATTTTCTGCCCGTATCCCCTGGCTTCCGGGCCCACAGAGGTTACCTCCCTCTTGGGGTTCCTGAGTTCTGTGACCTACTTATGGGGCTCTGTTCATGGAAGGCAGTGTTTCTTGGCCCTACCTGTTCATTAGAAGACTGGTTTTTAAAATGTCTCCATGCCCAGATTGTAACTCAAATCAATGACATCATGATCTCTGGGGTGGGACTCAGGCATTGGGATGGTTTCCAAATATCTGAGGTAATTCCAATGTGCACATTGAGATTTGCGATCACAGGCCACCTCTGACAATCGGGCATCCTGCCTTGTGATTACTGCTTTCTTTTTTATTTTTTTTGAGATGGAGTTTCGCTCTTGTTACCCAGGCTGGAGTGCAATGGCGCGATCTTGGCTCACCACAACCTCCGCCTCCTGGCTTCAGGCAATTCTCCTGCCTCAGCCTCCTGAGTAGCTGGGATTACAAGCACGCGCCACCATGCCCAGCTAATTTTTTTTGTATTTTTAGTAGAGACGGGGTTTCACCATGTTGACCAGGATGGTCTCGATCTCTTGACCTTGTGATCCACCCGCCTCGGCCTCCCAAAGTGCTGGGATTACATGCGTGAGCCACCGCGCCCGGCCGTGATTACTGCTTTCAAGCGTGCACTTGGCATACCTGGAACACACTGGGGTGCAGGGAGAAAGCACTAGGATTTTGGTTTATATTTACTTTAAATCCTATGCTTTTAAAATGTGCATGCTTTACAATGGACTTCACAGTAGAAGAGGGGCCCTCGAGCACTCACTGTGGCAAGGCTGTCATTCAAACACTTGACACAAAAGTGCCAGAAAGCAGTCACACCAACATGCAAACACAGGCTGGCTCCAGCAACCACCTATTATTCGTAATGCCAATCTGTTCTCACAGTACACACGTGTAATTTAGAAACAAAAATAATAACACATAAATAAGATACAGATATCAGGGTGACCTGAAACATTTTTTGCTGATAAGCTTTCATGATCAAATAGACTGTGGTGGCTGACCGTGAGTCCTCCAGACAAGGTCTAAATCTCTCTCTTATTTTCTTTCCTTCTGCCCAGCAGCTAGCGGAACCAGGGTTCGAATGAATGCGCAATATATGTGTGCCCACTCCCAGAAACAGTTCTTAAATGAAAATCAACATTGCCCATGTGCCAGAGACATCATACTTAATCTTCACAGCAGTCCTTTAAGCCTATGATTACACCTGTTTTGCAGATGAGGACCCCCCTGAGCAGCTAAGTAACTTGCCAGAGTCCAGAACCTGAACCTGGACTGTGGGACAGCTCATTCTCCCGCTCTGGTGAGCAGGTCCACAGGGAGCAGCTGACGAAGGTGGTGGGGGAGGGGTGGATGTTAAAACAGCAGGAAGGAGGTAGAGGTAGATTGCTCACTCCCTGCAGGTGGTTCCTTCTGCCAAGAGTGTCCTTCTCTATCTCTACCTGCCTTCCTGCCCCAGCTCAAATGTATCTTCTGCTGGAAGCCTGCAGAGGGGTCTGCCCCGTTCCTGCCTCATCTTCCCCACTGGATGTGAAGCTCCTCGAGGGCAGGGTTGGGTCCTACTCAAGGGGCATTCACCGAGCTGGCTCAGCAAACTTACACCGGTCTTCTGAGCCTGCGCCCGTCCTTCCTCCCAGGCCAGGGCGCCTCCACCCTCTGGGTTTTTCCTCCTTGGGCTCTGCTTACCTTTCTCTCTTTGCCCTCTCCTCCTTCTTCTCCTTGTGCTTCCTCCTCCCAGCTTCTCTTCTCTCCATCCCCACCGTCCCATCTCCTCCACTTCCGCAGCCCGCGCTGCTCCCAAACCCGGGCCGGTCAGCTGCAGTTCCGCAGGCGGCCTACAGAGGGCGATGTGCGCCGCCGCTGGGCCGCGTCTCTCCGGGCGCGCTTCCTGTGAGGTCAGGTGGGAGGAAGCGGCCTGGAGCCACCGGGAGTGGACGCCGCCGAGGCCTGGAGCCGCGCCTGCAGGTGAGTCGTCGCGCCTGGGAGGGAGCGCATCCCTCGCCGCAGCCCGGGCGGGGACTCGGAGCCGGTGTCGGGCTCCCGAGGCTGCGGCTGGCGGTCCGGGCAGCACCCCTCCCGCCCCCCGCCCGGAATGTCAGGTGCCGCGGGCCGGACGCGCGGGTGGCCCACCCGGCGGGGGCGCCATGACGAAGCACAAAGGGACTGCGCACGACCACCACCCGCTCGGCCTGCGCCAGGGCCGGGGGCTTCAGCAGGGGGACGCGCCTGTCCCGGGCTCCAGGCCACGGGCAAGACGACAGGGGCTCCTGAGCTTTTTTGGCATATGTGTCACCAGTGCTTTCGAGAATGTAGATGGACACTGAGGCTCAGCTCCTGAGAACGAATGGCCTTTACCCAGGCTCGAGGGGAGGTGTGGAGGGGCCCGCAGTCCAGGGGTCCGCGGAGTCGAGCCTTTCGAGAGCCACCGCCGCAGCCCCATCCCACATTTTGGGAAGGCTGGGCCCTGTGCCCCTTAGCCAGGGTTGGACTGGTGTTCCCTGCGAAGTGAGGGACAGGTGAGGGGCGTGCCCTCTGCAGCACAGATGTGCTCTTTTGAGCCAGTGCAGGGGTGCATGGTGGCCAGTGTGGTCTGCTCCTGCCAGGCAGCAGTTGTAACCTCGAAGGGACCACCATCTCCCTGGGTGTTCCTGGGGAAGGCCCAGGTGGTGACATTTACTCCCTGGGGGAGCAGCACACTCGCCCCATCTTTTAGTGTAAGGGAAATGGAACCCCATTAGGGATCCTCGTGCCCTGGACTCCCAGTTTAGTACCCAGAGAGGGTCCTAGAACCAGAGCTCCTGGCCTCATGTTCTTTCTTTGCTGCCCATAGGTGTGGCCCCGGGCAGGCCACCTAAGCTTCCCTGTGCCTTCGCCTGTACCCTCCTCGCGGGAGTGTTAGGAGGCTTGAGTGAGGTGAGCCTTGCAGGATGGGCTTTCCACGGGGCGTGGGCCACAGCAGGGGCTCTGATCCCAGTTGTGCTGCAGGTAGTGTAGTGATTAGCAAGAAAACTTCCTTTGCCAAGGATCCTTTTGATAGTTTTCCTGGTGGACTCAGTGTCTGGAATATTTGTGCCTGGCAAACAACTTGCATTTATTTCTCCCCTTTTTATTAATCAGACACAGCACCTGCTCAGCGTGGGTCACCTCTGTGAGCACCACTGACCGCAAGCCTTCCTCCATTTCTGGTAAATTTTTTTCCTTCAAGCTTTTTGAAGTCAGGGGAAGAACCCTCCTCAGGTCTTCGAGAGTCTGGTCCTGGATCATGAAGAGTTGAGGGTTTTGTATTGGGAAGAAATTCTGTACCACTTGGTTTCCATTAGCCTGCCCACCCTGACCACACGATGCAGGTGCAGCCCATCAGGGACCCGCAGTGCCCGGGAGGATGGTGCGGATCTTGGCCAATGGGGAAATCGTGCAGGATGACGACCCCCGAGTGAGGACCACTACTCAGCCACCCAGAGGTAGCACTCCTCGACAGGTAGGTACTCATTCCCTGTGGCGTGGGACAGATGGCCTCCTATGTACTGGCTACTTCTAGCTTCCAGAAGTCTCTCTTGCTGACAAAAAGTCACTAACCTTTTCTAGCCTGAAGCCCTTTTTGTAGAGAGCTGGGTAAGACTTGGGGTAGGTTCGGTGGCTTATTGTCAACCTCCCTAGATCTCCTTCCTCCAGGCAGCCTTCCCAGACTTCACATCCAAGAGCTCTTCCTCCTTTAACTTGGTAGCAAACCTCACTGGAGCTAATATCTTTCTTTTAAGAGTTGGTTGGATCAGAGAGAAGCTGGAGAGAAGTGGAGGGGATGAACCCTGGGCACAGAATAATTGTTTTAAAGAAAGGAGTGATGATGAGTATTAAAAATGGCTGCCCGAGAGCCGTGCCCTGTAGTCCAGCCTGCCTCGGCCGCTCCCTCTCTTCTCTAACCTGGGCATGATGTGGGGAATAGAGGCTGACATTTTCTGCACTCTGAGAGCTTGTGACTTGGTTGTTGGGATTCTTATGGGTGGCATGGGGGATTGCTGAGAAAGGAGGGTGTGACCCTGGGTGGCTGCAGGGAGGGTAGGGCGCACCCTAGAGAGGTTGCCTCCTGCCTGGTGCCTCAACTCGAGGATTCGTTCATCTCTCTCTCTCTCTTCACATTCCAGAGCTTCCTCAACAGGGGCCATGGTGTGCCCCCAGGAGGTCCTGGCCCCCGCCAGCAGCAGGCAGGTGCCAGGCTGGGTGCTGCCCAGTCCCCCTTCAATGACCTCAACCGGCAGCTGGTGAACATGGGCTTTCCGCAGTGGCATCTCGGCAACCACGCCGTGGAGCCGGTGACCTCCATCCTGCTCCTTTTCCTGCTCATGATGCTTGGGGTTCGTGGCCTCCTCCTGGTGGGCCTCGTCTACCTGGTGTCCCACCTGAGTCAGCGGTGACCTCTGGGGGCTGATGGGGGCGGGCCTGTTGAGAGGGACTTGCTGGGCCTTGGTATGAGAGCAGGCATATTTGGAGGGGATCTGGTGGTGCCTTGAAGGTGTGATCAGAGAGGGGACCACAGGAGTGTGTTTCCCCCTTGTGTTAAGCATGAGGCAGAGGAGACTCTAGTCCAGCATTTCCAGAGTGTGGGTGGGTCCCTTGGTTCCCTTGAGATATTTTTAGGTGGTATGGGGCCTGTGTTTAGTGGCACAGAATCAGAGCAAGAAAGGGGTTCCCTTCCCAATTCTCTCAATCCTTTTATGCCGAGAAGAAAATCTCAGCTGGGTGCCAATATGTTCCGAAGCCTCTGGAAGACATGCTGGCTTCTCCTTGGCCTAGGGAGCATGACTTGGGCTTAGGGCAGGTGGGGAAAATTCCAGACTTTTATAGCACTGTTTTTGTTTTAATGGTCTATTTTTATTGGCTACCTATTGTTTAGGACAAGTGGTACTGGCATTCTATTTATTGTCACATTTTCAATAAATAGATTTAAGTAGAAATGAGTCCATTGAAGAAATTTGTAAATACTTGTACACCTCCATGCTGATCTGGAAACATGGTAAAGAGGGATTGGTTTCGGGGAACAGGCAGCAGCAAGGCTTTGACCTCAGAGGGTGGTTTCTAAGATTTTCTCAGTAGGATCTCAGAGCTAGGAGAGAAGGTCCAGATGAAGTCTGGCTTGGACCCTTGCCTGATGTGTGGTTAACTGCCAGGCGCACTCTGAGATGCCAGACGTGATGCCAGTCAGCTTTGTGGGGAGGGTTCCTCTGGCCAGAATGGCTGGTGAGGCTGCAGGGTTGGGAGAGCCGGGGTGCAGATCCGAGGTCTCCCTTGCCCAAGGAGACCTCCCTGGGCAGAGGCTGCTCAGCCTCCTTCACCCTCCAGAGGTTCCCATCACCCCTGGCTGCAGCACACTCTCCTTAGAAAGTGGTGCACATGGACGAGGATGCCTGCTTCTCAGGAGAGGAGCCCTTGTGTTTTGGCACGTGAGCCCTGGGTCTGCGTGGAGGCCCTGCCGCGGGAGGCACTGGGTGGCTGAGGCTCTGGGCCACTGCAGGAGGAAGGTTGTTTATCGGCTGGAGGGAAGCTGGGTGAGCCGAGGACTTGCCTGTCCTGGCACCGGGTTTCTCATCCTTTTCTCAGGATCCGCCGGGTTTGGCTGTTTGCGGTGAGGAAGGCATGTTTTGGAGTTTCCAGGGCTGGGGGAGGATGGGAGAGAGAAGGAGCTTGAGACCACCACTCCTGAGAGCCTGCCATGCTGTCTGGAACAGAAGCCTCTCACCTGGGGCCTGGGCAAAGTGAGGTGGGCCCTGCCCTGCTGGTGTCCCAGCTGACCCCTGTGGCAGCTCCCGTCCTGACACTTCTGCCCACCCACTCCCACGGCTCCAAGCCCCCACAGCTCCAGCCCGCCAGCCACAGGGATGTTCCTGCCCCATATCCCACTCTGCTAACTTCCTTCTCCCTCAGCTTGTCTCTTAGGGGCTGGGGCTTTTCCCTTTCTTTTCCTCTTGCAAAGCTGCAGGACTCTGAAAAAATAAATGACTAGTGGAAACCCCCAATATATAAAATACCTTGAGGGGGTATGAATCTGAGTCCTCAGATTCAGGGCTGAGAACAATACCTTTTTCTAGAACTCACTTTCCATCCCCAAAGTCCAAGCCCTTTGAGAAGGCAGGGTGAGCAGGGCTTCCCTCTGCGCCTGACTGGAAAGAGTGGGAGGAGAGGGGCCTTCCTGGCTTTGGGCGGGATGGTGGAGGTGGGCAGGGGCCACAGCGGGCAGAGGTGGCTTCTCCTGAGGCTTGCTTGGTGCTTAGCCAGTCTAAGAGGCAGGGTTGGGGGCTAGAAGACGGTCGATGAGGGCCAAGAGGAGGTGATGTCCTGCTCTGCTTGTTGACTGAGCTCAGGCCCCATAGAGCTGCTCTGGTTGGATTGGACTCTTGGCCCTTTTTGAGCCACCTGCCTTCCCTGTGCCCTTTGGTCTCTGGGTAGCCTGCTGACCTGTGCTCACTTCCTAAGCCCAGTGTCTGAAAGGTGATGGGGCAGCCTGTACGCAGACAGCCTAGTGTGGAGAGGTGCCCCCGGGGGTCGTGCAGCCTGCAGCTGGGGGTGGCCTGGGGCTGCGTACATCAGGCCTGCGTGAATGCCCTCAGCAAGCCTCTCACCTGCACCGACTGACCGAGGCCTCACAGGGGGTGGCTGCACCCTGTGCATGCAGAGCCTGGGTCCTCCAGGAGGCCAGATGCAGAGCTGAGGGGCCTGAGTGAGCCTCTGCCTCGGTCTACTCAGCATCCTAATCAGAAGCTCTCTGAGGGGGTGAGCTCTTCTTCCACTGCCCACCGCCTCCTCTGCCCACTGTGTGACAGGACCCCCTAGATTAAGCTGCCTGACTCATTCTAATCCTGCCCAAGAGGGCAGATTTCCAGGGAGGTTTCTGCCGATCCTCGAAGCCCTGTGTCTCCATGGCAGGCTGGATTTCCAGCCCAGCTGCCTGGAGAGAGCTGCTCCTACTCCCACCCATGTGAGCCGCAGCTCAGTCCCACCAGGCCTCTGCTGCCTCTGTGGGGCTGGAGAGGGGAGTGCCCCACTCTGAGGGGTTGCTTTGACTCCTTGGTTGGGACTACCTGGTGAGTAGAGCTGCTGGGGGCTGACTCATCTGTTCGGCTCAGTCTCTGGGGACCAGCCGGCCTCTTGGTCCCCTCCACAAATTCCAAGCCCCTGGTTCCCTAAGCTCCCCTCTCTCCACCCTCCAGCTAGTCCTGGATGTGGGAACCAAACTATCATCTCCCTGAAGGAGACACCAAGCCTGAGATCCCGTGAAACTGACTGATTTTGCCAGTTCCCCCAAGCAGCTGTCTCCCAGTTCCTGCCTCCCTGCGACTAGGGCCAGAATGGGGCCTTTTAGCATGGGGTGGGGGCGGGGATGTCGGGCTCCCTGTCTGGAGCCTTTCTAGCTCTATGAGTCTGAGGGGAAGCCCTGAGGCAGTAGTCAGGGCCTCTATCCACTTGGATGCCTGAAGCTGAGGACAGGGGAGGAAAGCCACCCCTGTGTTCTGTGGCTCACCGGGAGGCACGGGAGGCCTGCTTGCAGCCCTGGCTCTGCTCTTTGTGGGCAGTTCACTTAGCCTCTTGAGACTTGGGTTCCTCAGCACTGTCAAGGGATGACAGTCTGGGACCTGCCCACCTCTCAGAGCCTTTCAGGGGATCACCTGAAGTATGGTGGGTGAGAGGTGGGCAGGCGGCCATGGCAAGGGGGACTGCACCAGCCCCCAGCTGCCTCTGCACGTGCTGTACATTGGCCCACAGCTTCTGCACTGGCAACTTCGGCTCCAGCGTGGCCGCCTTGTGCTGGGCACCTGGGAGCCCTGGCTGGGCAGTGCTGGGCTTTTAAGAGCAGGGTTGCCCCGCCCGCAGCTGTTAGAGAAGAAACACAGCTGCTTCGCTGTGCTCCTGGAAGCGGAGGGGCTTGCTGCTGGGCGAGTGTCAGGACTGGATGATGTTTGCTGGGAGTATATGGAACGCCTGGCCCTGTGCTAAGCACTGCATGCCATTTAGTTGTCACTAACATCTTATGACGTAAGTGCTGCGACTGTCATCTCTATTTCATAGCAGAGGACATGGCAAAGGGTTTATAACTTGCTCTAGGACCCAGAGTGAGCTGGGTGGAGCTAGGATTCAAACGGAGGTCCAGGCTCTTGACGGCTCCTCCCTTTCACCTCTGGCGGTACCCATATCAGCATCACCTGGAAACCAGCTACAGATACAGGTTGCCCGGCTGCACTACCTGCTGACCTGCCTGCGGCCCCATGGGATCAGCTGTGTGGGGGCAGAGGGCACAGAGGTGGGTGTAAGGGTGCTGGCTGCAGCTGCCCAGCTGGGTGGCCTCAGTGGCTTCCCAGCTTTGGGCCGCAGTCACTGAATGGAGATGTAGCCCTCTTCCCTGCATTCCCGGATGCATATTTCCATTGCAAACTGACAAATCCAATGATCTCTCAAAGGGTCCCCAAAGGGTTGAGTAGGGGCAGGGGAGGGGGCAGCAGAGCTCTGCGGCCAAAACTGCATAGAGAACCTGCAGCCTGCCCAGCCAGTAGGACAAGCAAGCCTACCCCGCATTGTGCTGCCACCCAGTGCCCAAAAGAGCAGCAAGAGAAAGTTCAAGAAGCAGGTAGAAGGGGGTGTGTTTGCCTCTGAGCCTCTGGTTTGAGGCTGGGGACAGAGCTGAAACCAAATGGCTTTAGGGACTCAGAGCTTGGAAGGAGATTGGAGCTGCTCCAGATGAAGCCGGAGGGCTACTGCCTCAAGCGCCTGGGCAGGTGGAGCAGGGGGCTGGGAGCCAGGGCTGGTCTGCGTCGGCCCTGCGGCCAGCTTCAGACCCTCTGGTGGGCAGGGACCCTGCTGGGGGCTGAATGCCTGCTTCCCATTTCCGGCTTCAGCTCTGTAACAGAGACCTTGGCATGACCCAGCATCTCCCTAAACCTCCATGTCCTCATCTGCACCTCCCAGGGTGAGAGGATCGAGTACATTAATCCATGGGAAGCACTTAGCCGTTTCTGGCACAGGTAGTGCTTGATGATGTACTGTATTCACAGAGCAATGGTGTTAAGACTCAATTTTTTTTTTTTAACAGCAGCTCACATCTTACTTAAATTGATTTTTTAAAAGGAAGCTTCATATTACTATTGTAAATGGAAAGCCAGTACTACTTGCCATCCACAGTAGATATTTGTACAAATGAATCCAGGACAGAAAAACTAATGATATTCTATTTTAGCTAGTCACTGCAGTTGCCTAAGCCTGTTCTTTGCTTTCTATGTTTAAAAAGTCAGTTAAGCCAGGCGTGGTGGCTCACGCCTGTATTCCCAGCACTTTGGGAGGCCAAGGTGGGTGGATCACCTGAGGCTGGGAGTTCAAGACCAGCCTGACCAACATGAAGAAACCCCATCTCTACTAAAGAAATACAAAATTAGCCGGGCGTGGTGGTGCATGCCTGTAATCCCAGCTACTCGGGAGGCTGAGGCAGGAGAATCGCTTGAACCTGGGTGGCAGAGGTTGTGGTGAGCTGCGATCACACCACTGCCCTCCAGCCTGGCAACAAGAGCAAAACTCTGTCTCAAAAAAAAAGTCAGTATGTGAAGATTTGGAGTGGTATTAAAGACTCACTGGCACCTCACTGAGATATTCTCCTTGATGAATTCAGAGGGTGAAGAGAAAAGAGGAATGACTTCCTCACCATGCAATTTGGTGCTGTGTTTGTAAACTGTTTATAATCATCTGTGCACCTCCCCAAATTATTTCACACCTTGGCAGGTAACTACTCCACCACTGTGGGAAACGTCATATGATCCTGAACAAGCTATTTAAAAAATCTTACTCTTTGTAAGGTAATGCATTTGCATGGTTCAAAGCTGATGTAATATACAAGCCTTTCTCCCTCCTGTGTCCCCAACCATCCATCCCTCCCCCACTTCACTATAACTACTCTTCTAGTGTCTTCTAAATACT